TAGCCTGCCACGGGGGTACCCGGGACAGTTGTTCGGGCTTCGGCGAATAGCGGAATTCGGCGATTACGCAAAGAGACTCACGATTTATACTGGTTCAGGCCCTCGACTTGGTCGAGTAATAACCTTACGTCTAGTTTTGGCGTTAGCCTGTTTGCGTTGTATTGCTTTGAGTATCGGGTATGCGTTCTCTTCTTACAATGGGTACTCTCACCAGCCCTTTATAGTCCAGGTGCTGAGAGGCGTTGTTTGTGTCCTATTCGGATACAAGGTCAAAGTCCTAAGCTACGCTTTGGGCGCCTTTCCTTGTATAGTTTGCGTTAGAGTTTTGGTTTTGCACGTTGCTTTGCTCCGCATTCTTCTTGGCGATTGGGCTGTAGGCCTTGCTACCAAGGCCTACCTCCCTGCAGTGTGGTCTATGGGGGGCCCATAGGGTTCCCCATTGACAAGACCCAAACACATATGACGGAGAGTTCTTTCAAGAAGAGGGACTAGAAGGAAGGTTTGAGATAGACTTAACCGAAGTGATCGGAATGGAAGTAGATAATGAAACGGTTATTAAAGAAGACGCTGGAGATGAGGTGCAAAATGTGAAGGACTTACAAATGCTTGAGCAATTATATTTAGACAATGACAATGGCAACATTGCTCATTCGGATAGTGTTGATTATTTCGACATGATTGATAGTGATGATGAGACTTATGATCCAGCTAATCCCGATCATGAAGATTATTTCTAATACATGTAATACTATTTTATTTTGTAATTACGTTTTGTTTATTTTACATCTCTTACTAAGTACTTCTTGTTTATCTGTGCTTATTGGTTTACTCTTTTTAATTGCAGGTGATTGAACAAAGATGGTGGGCGGTGGGACGAGGAAGCTAATGTCCTTGTACCAAAGGACAAGCACCGCTGCACCGGGGGAGAGTAGGAGGAGGAGCAGCTGCAGGAGGGAGCCGTCGCCTACCGCCCCGTCGCGTGAGGAGGAGGAGGAGCAGGTGCCCCAGGTGGACGCCGAGGAGGCACAAGAGGACGCACAGGAGGACGAGGAGGAGGAGGCGATAGCAGGGGGTTTTGGTTCCTCTAGTTCGTCGAGCATCTACTTGCGAGGTCCCACGAGCCTCCCTCAGCGACCAATACCTCGTGAGAGACGCCCGCTGATTCGACCCGATGAGGAAAAGTAAGTAACTTTAGATGTTATCATTACTTTATATGATATGTTGAAAATCAGAATAGAAACTAATAAGTTTTCTTAATCACTTGGGCAGGAATTGGACGATTGTGGCAAGTGGAGGTGCTCACACACGCCAAGTCAATGGCATCCTCGGTCTTCTATGCAAGGAGCACTTCCCTGGCCTGGTTGAGTACGCCGGAGTGACGGGGCTGGACTACTCATTTGACCACTACGCCGCTACCCCCGATGCTGCAGATCGGGCCCGTAGGGTATTCAACAACAAGGCGGAGCGGGTGAAGCAAGAGCTGTGGGTAAGTCCTCCTCGCACTACATTGCTCAATACATCGCATTCATTGGACATTCTTGAAATAATGAATGAATACATCGTGTTTGTATGCAGGATTTCTTTAGATGCCAGGACGGACATGAAGCCAAGGCGGATGCGGTGGCTACCAAATGCTGCAAAAAACTCATCATGGACATGCATTACGAGGCGCGCATCCAGGCCATCGTAACTTACCACGGGACCGTCCTTGGAACGAAGGTCACCAAAAGGGACGCAAGGAGCATGACGCTGACCCGAGACCAGTACCTACAGGTAAATACAGAACATTAATACTGATTCCTTTTGAGATTAAGTACGCTTAATTTTATCTTTTGATATGTCATGTACTTGATGGCTTGTAGATGATTCCTTATTGGTGCGCCGCGCATCCCCAGTGCTGGGAACAGATGGTGGACAAGTGGTGCTCACGCGAGTGGGAGGAGACGCACAACTTGTGCCGGGAGCGGCGTTTGATGATGCCAGGTGTAGCACACCATCAAGGCAGCCGCAGCCTTAGCGGATATGCAGAAATATGGGTACGTGAATTCATTTATTTATGCTAACGCTCAATTCTGCATGATTTCTAATCATCTTGCTGTTTTTTTCGCAGTCGGTGTCACATGGTGGCCAGCCTTGCTCCATCTTCAAGGCATTTGCTATGGCCCACAAGGCCAAGGCAACGTCCGACGTCGACTACAACCCGGAGGATGGGCCTGAGGCGTACAACAATGCGACCGTTCACAACCGCCTCAGTGAATACACATCGATGGCAAAGGAGATCCATGGGCCACAGTACAATCCGAGCACCGAGGACCTTGATGGAGAAGTCGTCATGAGGTCGGGAGGAGGCAAGAAGCTTGGGCGGTACTGGATTGGCGATGGCGCAATCGACTTGGCCACTACTCCCAGTCTCTCCTAGATTCGAGCAAGCAGCACAAGCAAGAGCCCGGCCATACGACCTTGGTAGGACACTTCACACCACCGGGTGGAGGCACTCGAGGTTATTCCTGGTTTATTCGTCGTTCATTGGTTTTTTCATACCTTTCCTTTGCATTATTATAACATTGGGGTGAATATATTATAGGCCTGGCTGGAACAAGAGAGGAGGATACGGGAGCAGATGCAGGTGAAGATGGAGAGGGTGGAGGCCGAGTGGGCCGAGCGGGAGGCCGAGCAGCGGAGGATGGCGGAGATTCTTCAGTACATGCAAAGTCTTGGTGCCGCTATGGGTGTACTTCCGCCACCTTCGCTATTCGCTCCACCTCCACCTCCTCAAAATTCTACTCCTATGAGTATAAATGTTTTAGTTTGTATGTTCATACTTACGGTCAAACCTAGTGGAGTATGAAAGTTTTATTCATGTATGGTATATATTTATCTTGTCTCACACATGCAATCTCTTCTCCTTTGTGCAGAATCAATCGACAGCATCAAACGACCCTCATGCTTCAGCGAATCCTTCACCAAATCAGTGATGATACTTGTGGTTGTTAATGGTACTTCTATTTGCAATTGTGGTTGAAGATGATGGAGCACTTGGATTACTTGTGAACTTATTTATGATATATTGTGAGACATGTGACGTTTGTGATATATATGTGATGTTTGTGATATATATGTGGTGTTGGTGATATATATGTGTTGTTGATGATATATATGTGATGTTGGTGATGTTTGTTATATATATCTTCTGTTTATTTGGATGGAATGTAAAAAATAAATAAAAAATGCTGTTTTCAGTCACTTTGCCAAGTGCAATGGTCATGACACTCGGCAAAGTGACTACCTGGGAACTACCTGGGAACATGCTTTGCCGAGTGCAAAGGCAATTGCACTCGGCAAACATCACAGGTTTGCCGAGTGCCACGAGCCAGGCACTCGGCAAAGGTCGCCTGTTTGCCGAGTGTCTTGCCGGCGGCACTCGGCAGAGTGGCCACCTTTGCCGAGTGTCTGAGTCAACGACGCTCGGCAAAGCGGCGACCTTTGCCAAGTGCTTGACCTTAATACTCGGCAAAGCCGCCGTCACGGTGGCGTTCGCCGTCACGGACACTTTTCTTTGCCGAGTGTCGGATTGGCACTCGGTAAAGCCTTTGCCGAGTGCCCGATAAAGTGCACTCGGCAAAGAGGTCTTAGCCGATAAACTGTTTATCGAGCGCCCTTTGTCGAGTGTAACACTCGGCAAAGGCTTTGCCGAGTATATATCGGTCTTTGCCGAGTGCCCGAGGCACTCGGCAAAGAAGCCGCCTCCGGTAGTGATTATTTGCTATAAAAAAATGCATCTTTTTTTTGCGCTTGGTGCTCAAATAAGCAACGAGTCTCTAGCAATGCTAAGCTAGCACCACTACTCCAATGTATTATACATTTTTTATTTATTTATCTTTGTTCTTTGTACCACTTTAGTATAGATATCGGAGGCGCTCTTATAATTTAGAAGAGTTGTGCTTTAATGCAAAGGTTGGAAGTGATGTCAAGATGGTTGTATTAAGTCGATATGATTATCTTGAATTAATAAAATGCTTCCTCAAATAAAAAAAAAAGAGTACCTCTCGCGCAAAGTCCGAGCTTAGAAACGATGTTGAGCTGATCATTGATCACGCAACCAATATCGACCACTAATTTCATTTTATCCATTATATAGCTAGGATGGAAAACTATGAGCCCGTTTAGTAGAACTCTGGCTCTATCCAAAACAGATTCAGTTGTGGTTTCACCTGTAGAGCAGATTTACTCCGGGAGCTAAAACACTTTTATAGAGCTTTTGGTAAAACAACTTCACCTCATTTCTCTATTTAATTTTCTGTTTTCATCTTCCAATGCTAGGTTCATGGCATCTCTCCACGGACGCCTGGTGTTTGTAACTTGGCTCCTCATGAAATACGCGTGAAGCCATATCCTAGAAAAAAAACTGAAAATAGTGAAATACCCACAATACCCTTTTATTTTGTTTCTTTTACTCTCTTCTTTCTTTAATTAATTTTTCTTCCCTTAATCCTTTTATCTCAATCGCACAACTCCTTACGCCTAAGCCTCATTTTTCTTTTCTTTTTTCTTTCTTTTTTTTCTTTTCTTTTCTTTTTTCCTACTACCTTATCCGTTGCTCGGTCTAACCGCATCGGCACGCGAGTACGCGTGGCGTCTCGTCTTCAACCTCGGGACGCCGCCCGCCCATCCCGCCGCCGCACGCGAGTACGCGACCTCGCGTCTCCTCTTCTACCTCCGCGACCTCGCACCTGGGGCCGCGCCCGACCACGGGCCATCGACGGCGCCGCAGTTTGCTCGGATAACGTTTGGTTGGTGGAGCAGCAAAACAGCTCCAGGAGCTGCCCCAGGAGCCACACAAAACGGCCCCTTATACAGGTACACCTGCCTCCATGGCCATCCAAACTCACAAACCATTTCTTGGCCCTCCAAAACATGTACAGCTAGCGTTTCACAGTCCCACTAGTGCTAGGCTTCTAGCTACCAGGAGTCAAGGATTGAACCAGCCAGCGGCAGCAGCGATGGCGGAGACGGACGCCGACAAGCTCCGGTTCATCGAGGAGGTGACCGCCGACGTGGACGCCGTGCAGAAGCGCGTGCTGGCGGAGATCCTCGGCCGTAACGCCGACGCCGAGTACCTCACGACGAGGTGCGGCCTGGGCGGCGCCACCGACCGCGGCACCTTCCGGGCCAAGGTCCCCATGGTGACATACGAGGACCTGCAGCCGTACATCCTGCGCATCGCCCACGGTGACCGCTCGCCCATCCTGTCCGGGTCCAGCCACCCCGTCTCCGAGCTCCTCACCAGCTCCGGCACCTCCGGCGGCGAGCGCAAGCTGATTCCCATCGTGGAGGACGAGCACGACCGCCACCATCGATTGCACAGCCTCGTCGGGGCAGTCGTCAATCAGTAAGCACAGAGCCACAGATCGATGCTATAATCGATGCTTGCTTGCAGGTCGGTCATGGTGTGTGGCATGATCGATGCTTGCTTGCAGGTCCGTGCCTGGGCTCGACAAGGGGAGCGGTCTCTACTTCCTTTTTGTCAAGTCAGAGACGACGCCGGGTGGCCTGCCTGCGCGCACCATCCTCACGCGCATCTTCACGAGCGACGGCTTCTGGAAGCTCCCCTACAACCCCCAGCGCGGCCTCACGAGCCCAGCGGCGGCCGTCGTCTGCGAGGACACGTTCCAGAGCATGTACGCGCAGATGCTGTGCGGCCTGTGCCACCGCCACGCTGTGCTGCGCGTCGGCGCCGCGTTCGCCTCCGGCGTCCTCCGGGCCATCCGTTTCTTCCATCGGAACTGGGCGCAGCTCGCCGCGGACATCGACGCCGGCATGCTCACCGACCGCGTCACCGACCCCTCGCTGCGTCAGGCGCTCGCCGGCGTCCTCCGACAGCGAGACCCCGAGCTTGCACGGTTCGTCCGTTCCGAGGGCTCCAAAGGCGACGCGGCCGGCATCATCGCGCGTCTTTGGCCAAACACCAAGTACGTCCACGCCGTAGCCACGGGCTCCATGGCGCACTACGTCCCAGCCCTCAATCACTACAGCGGCGGCCTGCCGATCGTCTCCACCGCGTACTTCTCCTCGGAGTGCAGCATCGGCATCAACCTCCGGCCGATGTGCGACCCGTCCGAGGTGTCCTACACCGTCATGCCCAACATGGCCTACTTCGAGTTCCTGCCCACGGACAACGACGACGCCACGGCGGCGAGCCAGCTCGTGGAGCTCCCCCGCGTGGAGGCCGGGCATGAGTACGAGCTGGTGGTGACCACGTACTCCGGGCTTTGCCGGTACCGTGTCGGCGACGTCCTCCGCGTGACGGGGTTCCACAACGCGGCGCCGCAGTTCCGGTTCGTGCGCCGCGGGAACGCGCTGCTGTCCGTCGAGTCGGACAAGACGGACGAGGTGGAGCTGCAGCGCGCGGTGGAGCGCGCGTCGGCCGCGCTGCTCCGCCCGCTCGGCGCCGCCGTGGAGGACTACACCGCCCGGACGTGCGCCGAGACCGTGCCGGGGCACTACGTCGTCTACTGGGAGCTGCAGCTGCCGGCCACCGCCGGCGCCAAGGGGCCGTCGTCCGCGGACGTCGTGGTCGACGGCGAGGTGCTGGACGGGTGCTGTCTGGAGATGGAGGAGGCCCTGAACTCGGTGTACAGGCAGAGCCGGGTGGCGGACCGCTCCGTCGGCCCGCTGGAGATCCGGGTGGTCCGACCGGGCACCTTCGAGGAGCTCGCGGACCATGCCGTGGCGCGTGGCGCCTCCGTCGGCCAGTACAAGGTGCCCCGGTGCGTCACCGCGCCGCCGGACATCGATCTGCTCGACTCGCGCGTCGTCTCCAACCACTTCAGCCCCGCATTGCCGCACTGGGTGCCTGGTCAGCAGTTCCAATAATCGGACAGGGCAGGGAGAAATGCTAATGAGGCTCTGCTGCATATATAATGGGGAAGCTGTCAAAAGTCAGAAAACACGCATTCTAATTACGATTTTTGTTTGAGGAACATTCTAATTACGATTAATTTGACCACGCTATTATAATTGACACTGTTCATCTTTCAAGAAAAATAAAAATTATCATGTTTTTACTTCTACGTAACTTTTTCTTGATATAGATAAACCCGATTTTTATAAAAAACAAAGTATTGCAAAATGAAAAACAAACCAGCTGGGGACACCAGTTTACATCAGGATAAGGCCCCATCGCGCACAAGCAAACCAACTACAGCCAAACGAAACAAACTCCAAAACCATAACAACCAAAACATTCGACACCATCAAAACATCACAGAGAAAAGACATACTAACTACCGATCTCTCGTACACAAACTTAAACATCAAAACAACCCGTTCAGATAACTCCCTCCACCTCAAGGTTTTCAGTTTGCTTACAAAAGTCCCTCAACTAAGTTTTCATTTTTCCTTTTTTGTCTTCCAAGAACGTAGCATCTTGATCTTTCAACATAATTCGCTATTTCTGTAGAAACATGAAAATTTTGTGAAAAAAACTCATTAGATGAATTTGGGATCTTCTTCTCAATCCCCATCTTATTCCTAACACTCCATAAACCCCACAAATAATAGTGAAAGTGAAAAGCTTTAAATGCTAATCCTTCACCCCAAGGGAATCCAATGTTTAGACACATATTGTATATTTCTAGGCACTTTGTCCCATCCCAAAGCTTCTTTCGACCAAAACCAAACACACAATAAAAATAATGTATATAGAAAAATCCAAAACGTCTTATAATTTCGAATAAAGAGGACTATTTGTCATATTAGAATGCTGCCATTACATTGTACCACGTATTTGAACCATGCTACTTTATAGAGGCGAAGCTACATGTATTCTCAACAATACCTAATGCAAAGTGTTTATCTTTTTAATATATACAGTATTAACCAGTAGGGGCTTTTACCCCTCCTGATTTCCTAAAAAATACCTAATTATTTTTCCATAAAATTTAGTATATATGAACATATACATATGTATAAGTAATATTGTGTCAGGAGAATTAATGTGAATCCTCAACATATTTGACGACAAATGGATCACGGACAAATGTAGTAACGAGTTTTTCTTTTCCCTTGCAGTAAGAAAGAAATATGTTGTTTCATCTTTAACTGTCATCGTTTCATCATGACTCTTCTTAGAGCAAATAAAAAAAATACACTTCCCAGAAATTGACGAATTGCTAAATCACTTGTAATTTTTTTTCTTCAATTTTGTTTCCTCTACATGTATCTTTGTGCTTGTTTCTCTTTTAATAAAAAACTTCAATATGGCCTGACCCCTCTTGTTACTAGAGGTGGGACTTGGATCAGACCGTGTTACTCTCGTGTGCTTCGTGCCGCTTCAAGTCATGATCTCTAAATATGTGAGGCATGTCGTGCAGCGGCGTGCCAGCATGACAAGTCCTTGCTTTGGCACAAGTATGACCCATAGCATCAGCGGCGGACCCAGAAAATATTTCAAGGGGGGCTAAACAACACTGCTGTTTGATCTTAAGTCTCAGTCCTCCTACACTATAGAACTTTGCCTAAAAATTCATGGGGCTCCACATGGGGTTCCACTGCTGCGATATAGGTAGGGGTTCCACTGCTGCGACATGGGGTTCCCTCTAGCGACGACGGACTTCATCTGCACGTACGCCATCTCCTTCCCGAGGCACATCCTGGGCCCCGCATGGAACACGGTGTACCGAAACGGTCTCTCCGGCCAGAACGCGCCGCCGTCGTCGAGCCACCGCTCCGGCCGGAACTCGGCGCAGTCGTCGCCCATATGGCCGAGAGCCGACCCATGGCGTAAGCGCTGTAGGTGACGGACCAACCCTTTCCGACGCGAGTGCCGTCAGGCAGCGTGTCGTCCGCGGCGCACGACTGCGAGTCGAGCGGCGCCGGCGGGTACAACCGCATCGACTCGGTGAGCACGGCGTGCAGGTAGTGCATGCCGCGCAGCGCGTCGAAGCCGAGCGACAGGCCAGGGCGCGTGCCCGTGGACGCCCGCGCCGCGCGGACCTCGGCGAGCACGCACGCTGTCACGGCAGGGCGCGACGACAGGAGCCAGAAGAACCACGTCAGCGCCGACGACGTGGTCTCCCGCCCGGCGATGAGGAAGCTGAGCACGATGTCCCTCAGCGCCTCGTCGCTGTGCTCGGCGCTCGCCACGAACCGCGACAGGACGTCGTCCCTCTGGCTCTGGTCGACCGACACGCTCGTGCTCTGGCGCCGGGCGCGGATGATGCCCATGGCGAACGCGTGCACGTCCGTGATGGCCTTCTTGAGCCACCGCTCGCTGCCGACGTTGAGCCACTTCTTGACCTTCCACAAGACCTCCACGGGGTCCAGGAAGCGGCCGATGATGAGGTCCTGTGCCTCGCCGAACCTGCGCATGAACTCGGATTTTTTGGCGTCCGCCCAGTGTGAGTGTAACCCTGGTGCACTCAGTCAGTCCAGAAGTAGCCCAGTCAAGCGTGGAAGCAGTTGGCGGGGTGGTGAAGTTTGAACCTGCTGAAGCCGAGTGGTGGTGACCGCGCCCACGTTATGACGTGTTCAGCTGCAGTTATCTTTTGCGTGTGTTTAGCCTTGTTTAGGCAGTTGTTTAGCCAGTCATTGTGTGTGTGCGTGCGCTACTGGTATAAGTAGCTTGTCTGAGCACCGTGCAAAACTGCTTGGACCATTTGTATCTGCCATGTACTAATCAAACATATCTGAGTAAAAGAGCTCTGTAAGCCGACAATGTTCAGGGTCTCTCTCTGAGTTTAGTGCATTATTTACATTTGTTCTTGATTCTGGTTAGGATTAGCCATCGTATAATCGTGTGATCTGTGATTCTAAATCCTACATTTGGTATCGGAGCCATAGATCACACGTTCTAGCATCGACAAATACCACAAACTTGATCCATGTCGACCTCTTGAGGAGATGGTTCGCGAGGAGTTGGAGGCGGAGGTCAGCCGGTCTATCCGACCCTGACGACGACGAACTACACCAGTTGGTGCATCCGGGTGCATGCGATCATGGAGGATCAGGGGGTGTGGGAGGTTGTGGAACCACCAGAGGGGACGTCGGGGGAGAAGCAGACGGAGGCGGCAGCAAGCAAAGACAAGAAGGCAAGATCTCATCTACTTAAGTGTTTGCCTGATGATTTGCTGATGCAAGTTGCGAAGAAGAAGAGTGGCTAGGAGGTTTGGGACTCTTTGAAGGCGCGGTTTGTTGGGGCAGATCGGGTGAAGGAGGCACGACTGCAAACTCTAAAAGTGAGTTTGATGCCCTGCGGATGAAGGAGGATGAGACGCTCGACAGTTACACTGGACGATTGACGGTGATGTCGGTGAAGTTTAGTAACCTAGGAGGGACATTGGATGATGCAGCGATGGTGAAGAAGTTGTTCGACACCATGCCCGATCTCTTCATCCATGTCGTGGCCAGGATCGAGCAATTCTTTGATTTGCAGAAGTTGGCGTTTAAGGAGGCGGTTGGGAGATTGAAGGCAGTTGAGCAACGGACATGGCGGGAGTGGATCCATGAAGAGTGACAGGTGGTTAATCTGTTACTCACTCAAGCCGAGTGGGAAGCTAGGCAGAAGAGATCAGGCGGTGGTGATTCCTCAGAGAGGGGAAGATCACAGGATGGTGGCGGCCGGGGGCGTGGCCGTGGCCATGGCCGAGGCTGTGGTGGTCATGGAGATTCATCTGGCAAAGATGGAGCTGGAGGTGGGAAGGACAAAAGCCACATCAAATGTTTCAAGTGCCACAAGTATGGACACTATGCAAATAGATGTCCAGATGCTAAGAAGCGGGGAGGAGGCACATCATGCTCTTGCAGAGGAGGCAAAGGAGCCACAAGCACTCATGCTTGTAGAGACTGAAGTAGTTGTTTGTGGAGCAAGGGGAGAGTGTGTATCAGCATGAAGGAGATGTGATGCTAGAACTGCATCTTCACTGGTGGTGGGGCTTTTTAGGAGATCTGTGGTACCTTGACAATGGTGCAAGCAACCACATGACAGAGATCTGGAGAAATTTGAGACACTTGATGATGAGATCACCGGAAAGGTGAAGTTTGGAGATGGTTCTATGGTTGAGATCAAAGGTAAAGGAACTATTTTGTTTTAGTCTAAGTCCGTGATCAAGTGGGCTTTGATGTAAGTGTTTTCATTCCTAAACTTAGAAGCAACTTGATTAGTCTTGGACAATTGACTCAAACTGGACATAGAATAGTACTTGATGATGATGTACTAGAAGTGTCGAGAGAAAATCCTTTCAAATTGATCATGAAGGTAGATAGAACTCCAAACAGATTGTATAAAGTTGAGTTGAAAACAGCTTGTACTGCTTGCTTTCCTCGCTCTTGTGAATGATCAGGCTTGGCTGTGGCATGGGAGATTGGGTCATGTAAATTTTCATTCTATGAAGCTCTTGACTGACAAGGAGATGGCAGAGGGAGTGACTGCAATAGCACACCTAGATCAGCTATGCATAGCCTGTCTGGCATCCAACAGACTAGAACTCCTTATCCAAGAGTGGCTAGGTGGAGAGCACAGAAGAAGTTGGAGTTGGTCCATGTTGATTTGTGTGGCCCAATCACACCATCAACAGCAGGTGTAAACATGTATTTTATGCTGCTGATTGATGACAGCACAAGGTGGTGTTATGTGTATGTCTTGAAGACCAAGGACCAGGCACTTGATGCCTTTGTGAAATTTAAGGCAAAAGCTGAGAATGTTACTGGTGAGAAGATCAAGGTCCTGAGGTTAGATAGAGGTGGTGAATTTCTTGCAGCTACATTTAGGGAAGAGTGTGAGAAAGCTAGAATTCAGAGGCACCTCACTGCACCATATTGTCCACAACAGAATGGTGTGGTTGAAAGAAAGAATAGGACAGTGATGGAGATGGCTA